CCGGCGCCTCGACACCCCGCACAGGGCGCGCTCACCGTGACAGGAACCAGGGTACACCCGACAGCGAACGTGTTGAGGGTGTAGGGGTCGTCTTGGGTTTTCTCTCTCCCCCCCTTCCTTCTCTCCCCCCCCAAGGCATCTCTTCACGCTTTCGGCGGGGACCCAGCTACAAAGGCAGAGGCAAGGCACGGAAGGAGCAGCGCTCACCCTCCTGATGGAAGGACCAACAGACTCACGAGACCCCAATGTTGCACAGCTGGAAGACAAGCCCCCCCCCTGAAATTCACACCCATCTGATCCAAGAATTACCGGGGGCCTTGGAAAGTGGTAAATACTAAGCAGGTAGTCTGTGTGCTTGACCTCCTTCCCAGCAGCAGCAAACACCCACCCTACCCATAGCCGGAGCTGGGGGTGCAAAACGACGGCGCTTCCAGCACAAGAAATTTCAGAGCTAAAATTGCTGGTGAATTGCACAAAGGATATAGAGAAGTAAGTTAAATGGACTTGAATGAGATCGTTAATTTACATTCATTTACATTCATGAGAATAGACCTAGGGAAGAAAACATTTTCCAAATGAGAACAATCAAGGTTTACTGCCAAATGAACACCTGGAGGAAGAAAGTGCACTGGTTCTCTACTTCTATGTTTAGCATCACTTAGAAAAAGCACATACGATGCAGAGTTTATAAGAGACATGTACACTACGAGGTGTAAGCACAGGTTTGGGCATTTACACAGCTAACGGGTCAGCGCCCAGAGCAGAGCTGCCGCCAGTCAGAGGAATGACATGGAAAAACGAGCAAGAAAAACGCAGCAGAGCCAACATGGGGCAACAGGTCTCCATGTGAACACAAGTTAAATTTATAACAATTACATAAATTTAAAAAGGATTCACATCAAACTCCCTGGAAAATGCTACCTTTAAAGTTGCAACAAATATTTTCCTCTGGTTTTTCAAAGTACAAACATTAGGCAACCACGGACAGAAGAACAGATGTGCCACATTACCTTCCCGGAAAGAAGCGCCGTACTTCACATCTGGCTGCGTTGGACCAGCAAAGTCAGTAAGTCACACAGGAAAAAGGGAGAGAGCATCCACGTGAAGAAAAAAATGTTGGTGATCATTTACACCCTTGGAAGACCCATTGCATAATTTATCCAGGCAGAGCCAGCCATTTTTACAGTGACACTTCGGCAGCTCTAAAATACGCCTTAACAAGCTCTTGAAAAGGCCCACATTATAAATTTAAATGAGAGAATGTTAGCAGTTTGCTGGAACAGACCGCTTTTCAGCCCAACCCAACGTTTCTCTTTCAAAACCTCATGTCATCCCCTTTCCCATCATTTAAAAATTCTACTCTAACATTTCTCTTTAAACAAGTGGGGCCTGAAATCTGCTGTCTTGGAAGTACTCTTCATGAATTGGCCACAGATTTTTTTTCAACTATTAATTCTAATGTTGACCAGCAGCAGTGTTTTGAAATGTCTGAAACAGTGATGCTTTGGCACAAGCTTAAAATATAAAGAAGCTCACTACTACTATTTGTTTTATTTTGTGCAAAGGCCATGTCAGAAAAATCTAAAAATTTCAGAATTCAGTTAAGAACTACTGGATGAGAATAGGGCTACAAGGGAAATTATTTAGAAGGACCAAACAGGTAAACAAATTATTGAATTGAGAGAGGGAAGTTCCATACCAGTGGATCACTGATAGGTCATTAACTAACATTTTAATTAACAGCAAAGTACTCGTTAGTTATATGTAGATGAACTTTGCAAACCAAAACAGACAGCGCAGAAGCCAGAAGAACAGCGAGGCACCCCTGGGAATTAGTTAGGCAGGAATCTGGACAAATAAAAGATAGTACAAGCGGAAGTTCATGTTCAGCCAGATACTGTGAACTCAGGCCGCGTACGCAGAGACCACAGGACATACACGACAGTGCTGAATTCAGATTTGGGGTTGTCATTAACTGAGGAATACTGACAAAAGGCAAAACAAAGACAAGTAACAAAATAACTGCAGGAGTTAGAAAAGTAGTAATTAAAAAACCAGTTTATAGGGAAAGGGTTAAAGCGTAAAAGGGTAGCTACAAGGAGTCATGAGGAGCAGAAACACTGTAGGCTGAACTTCTCAGAGCAACAACAACATTGCCTACTAAAGTAAAAATTCCCCTAGTCACTGTACGGACAGGCTTACACTTCCAAACATTATCTTGAATACCTATACCATAGACACCAGCTTTGTCTCCGCAGAGCTGTAGTCTCAGTAAGAACACATGCAGAAATGGAAGAAAATCCAGTGCGGATTTATGAAGGTACAAAACAAAAGAAATGAGACACGTATCTGAACATTTATCTAAAATACAGGAGGGAAGCAGCAAGCCTGAGGTGATGATCAGGTGATGCCCATTTTGGCTGGAATAAGTCACCAAGAGAACAACTGGGGGCCATGATGCCTGAGGCATTTAAAACTCACAACTGGATAACTCAGACGGGTGGATCCAAGTTCTAAGGATCCAGATGATGCGGAGCAGGATGGCTGTCCTCATTTCCCCCCACTGTAAGTGAAAATACCAGTTTTTCTCCTTTTACAGTAATAGGGCCAAGTGAATAATCAAAAACAATAGACACACTTGTGGCACTGACAATTAAGTGCAGGCCTGTTAAGGACTCATGACAACTATGTTCAAACATTTCTTCTAGGCAACGAATCATGATTTTTCATTACTTAAAACCAGCTGAATGTCATTTAATCTCTTTTACATGTGACTTACATACCAAGCTTCATGGAAATGTGGCTTTGTACTAAAGTATTCTCCTAAAGGAGAGTTTTCCTTGAAAGGAAGGAATTAAATAATGAAATTCAAGTTACTCCATGAAGTAATGTGTACTTCACACTTCCCTTGTGTATGAAAATTATGTGCCAAATAAGATTCAAAAATTCAGCAAGCTCTAATCCATGCATCCTTTATTCCATTACAATCACTGTGTTGCATTCTAGCAACAGGACACAAACTGCAATCAATCGCGATCAATTTATACAACAATCTGAGGCTTACAGTACATTTAAGGCCTTTAAATTTGGAAAAATTAGACCTATGCTAGTAGTGTAACAATTTTTAAGTGTCTTGCATTTCTGATGCATAATCTGTGCGATTCCAGTGTCAAAGAATCAAATTACTTCTAAACTAAAAAGATCAGCTCAATGAAAATTTAGGTACATAAATTCATCAAAACATAAAATGTGTAAATTTTTTTTTTGTCCTGGAAACTTTATAAAACTTTAATAGCAAAATAATATAGGGATAAAAATGTATTTTAACAAAATGTATTCAATCATATACAAACCAGAATTTTGCAGTTTATTGTAACTAGACTTAAATTAAAACTACCAATTAAGAATCTATGCATAATGTAAATTCAAATATGTACAGTACTTTTAAAAAGTCTACAGGAATGCTTTACAGAAGGAAATGTCTGTTATGGCTATTATTCAGACCATCTGAATATTAAAATGAGTTTTCTAGTAGTAAATTTACACATTTATTTTTAAACAAAAGCAATTTTGTCCCTAGTTCCTTTAAGAATATTCCAGTTATGTTTATACAGGTAATGGAGAGGTTGTTACGGAGTTTAGCCCCATATAGTAGTTTGTTTATTTTCAGGAAAAAGTATGTTTAAATAATTTACTCAGGAAGATCAGCAAGTTAACAAAAGAACACTAGAAGAGAGGAGGGGGAACTTCATCACAATAACTTCCCAGTTACAACACCACAGCTAGAAACTTCACAGAGAAAGTACTCCCTTAGATTGAACCCATGACTGATTGTTCAGAACAAGCTGTAGCTCGTAACGGTTGTGTTCTCCACACTGAGAGCACTTGGGAAAAAAAGTCTTTGTAGGGCAGAATTATAAACGATCTGACGCAAGACAAAAAACTGATCTTCGATTAATACAGCACTAGGTAAAAAGTGTCCCCATAAGCAGCTAGTATTCCCACTTCCTTCAGGGCAACGAAGCTAAAAATTGTTGGAGTTACAGTAGTTGACCATATTTGTGTGCATTAGTAGAATAATTTCCAGATATAAAAGACAAATTTCATCAGATGTTTGATTAGAACACCCTAAAGACAGGGTGTTTCTTCATAGTATAAAGCTATTACAGCTATCCAGTTAAAGCATGTGCAAAACCAGGTAATTTCTTCCGTTCACAGTAACTGAGGTAAAATCAGGTAGGCTTCTTCAGGAGTTGGGAAGTTCATGAGATATGAACTGTTTTAGTCTCTCTAAGTACTGTGCATAAAGCTCTATGTCATTATGCCCAGCCCCTTCCACCCAGAGGGGCTCAACCGCTCGTGGACATCGCTCGTACATGGCCAGGCCGTGGGAGAAATCGATTACCTCGTCTTCGGTACCATGGATTACCAACACAGGAGAGGTCACCTTGGATATCTTGTCAATGCTGGGGGGGTGGAAAAGAAAAACAGAGCTCAGCTTGGGGCTTTAACTTTCATGCCATCAAGGAAAGTAAGCTTGACCATCAACACATGATCCAGTTTCCACCACGTGCGTTTAAATGGCAGCAAAACGTTGGAATTGCGCTCAAGTGCTATGGAACAAGGCTCACTCCCAGGAGGCATGTGCAAACAGGAACCTGAGCTGCCATCACCATCATCCCACCAGTTCCGACAACAAGAAGCTGAAATGGGCAGCACGCAAATGATGTTTGGCACCAGCCCCACCCCCCCACCCCCCAACATTGTGTATATCTCTCACAAAAAACATTAAGCAGCAAAGAAGATCCCACTGGACGTGGTGCCAGTGTGGACTCTTCACTTTACACATTATCACTTTCCAATTTAACAGATCAGGAACTAATTAACTACATTCCAGCCATAAGACTCATGCAAAAAAAAGCCTCAGCTCATGAGGTTTGAACCTGTCTTAATCCATCTTTAAATTCCCAAATTAAAGCAGATTCAGCTGTTCCTTCTACTGATTTGTCTACATTCAAATGGCAAGAAAGAAAACTGTGGGAGAAGAGTATCACACAAGGATATTTAACTGCAAACCAGAAGAAACACAGGATTTTATGTCACGCAGCTAACTTCTTCTGCAAAGCGGCCTTAAAGTATTTTTTCTTCCTTTTGTTCCAGCTACATTTTGCAGACCCATACAGCTAGTGGCCACCTCTCACAGGAAAACAGGTTCAGAGGAAAGGGAAGAGTGACAAAGGCACCTTCACACCTCCAAGTTCAGGCCAGACAACCCCAATTAATCAGCATACTGGTAGCACACAAACTTCAAAGTGGTGAACAGCAGCTTTCTCTGCTTGCCTTCACGCAGGCACCAACCTTGATTTCCAGACAGCCTTTTCACGTTGGCAGTTACCCCAGTAATCCCAAATGAGTACATAGGCACAGAGCAGTAATGAGCTCTCAGCTTCCTACCAGCTCCACTAACATCAACAAATGGAGGAACTGGCTCAGGACTGGGATGAAGTAGGTGGAAAAATGGGTATCAGTAGTATTTGATTTGACAGAAGGACAAGTCTATTTCTGTACGCTATCTAATAAAAGGTGTTCGAATTTTCCTGCTCCTGAAGAACAAGAAAGCATGCAATTTTGGTAAACTAGAGATTTTATAAAGTCATCAAGACTGCTTTAAATGATTAAAAAGTATGAATCCCAACATACAGTGACTTAAAAACAGGTTTACAGAAGCTTTATGAAAATATAATTAAAAATAAAGATGTAGCACTAATCCTTGTGCATACAAATCTCAGCACTTAGGATTCTGGAGAACCATCATTGGTATTCCAGTAAACAGCTGAGTGTAAACACATTTCTGTCTCTGTACTTCTCCAAAAAAACAGGCTTCATGTCATTTACAGAGGAAGAGTGTTATTTAAATTTAAAATGCAGCCTCTTTCACTTTTCCTGTCTGGAACTTGAGTTGTGTGCAACTATGCTGAATACAGAAAAATATCCCAAGAACATGAGAGATCAGAAAAATGCAGATTTATTTCTTTAATTTTCATCCCCAAATTAATACCATAGTCAAATACAAGTACTTTATAATCAATATGCTATATAAACTGAAGTCTTAAGCCCGTGAAGGGTCTGTCCCCAAGTTCCATGATGCGACAGACATGTCAGCTACGTACAGCTACAGAGATGTTTACATAAAATTTTAGTGGCTAGATACTAAGTTCACTTTTATTGTATGAAACCAGGAAAACCCCTTTCACTTCAGTATTCAGCGAAGAAACTATTTTTTCCACATATATTCACAGACCATTAAGCTAGATAATATTTGTATTTTGCAGAAAATTGGAAAGCATCCCATTGCCAACTCAGCAACTCACAAGGCAGTATTTAAACTGCACATTAGATTCACTTAGTATTCTTAGCCACACCGCTCTGCAGCTAGAAAAATCTACAGAGACCAAATCCTCATGGAGTCCTAACATAAAATGCACACAATAGCGATTCACCGTAGGTGCACACAGAACTATTTGTTTCCCGCCGTGAAGACAGACAGTTGAGCCGCACACATTCACAGAAGCGCACTGCTGTTTGTTTTCACTCCTTACAGTGTCAGTGCAGTCAGACTGACAGCAGTGAACAGCTCAGTAGGGCAAGAACAAAATACTCAAGTGCTCCAGTACATCTGTTGTCACTGTTTCCCCCTCCCACTTTTTCTTTTTTAAGCTGTTATTTGATTTGGCTGATATCAGCTAATCACTGTTACTTTTGTAATCAGAGCTATTTTTAAGGCTTTGTTTTCTTCCCTCTAGCAGAAGCATTTGTAAATATTGGATTTCAGGCTTGAGGATGATGACTGAGTTGGAGTTTAAGTGTTTCAAATTCTGACTGCACCTTCAACAATGTCATTACTTAATTAATAACTTATTTGGAAGAATTCTAAACATGGGGACTAGACATGGATACTATGAGAGGGACTATTACTTGGTCACTACTACTGCTAGCTGTTTTGGCCTACAGATTTATATCTACAGCCTCCCCCATCTTCTAATTTTAATCTGTTGTAACCAACATAAAACAAACATAACAAATGCTATGAATATCCCCTACTACACTTACTGCAAACATGACCTCCTGAAGCAAAGCCAAGCTTTGCACAAGACTTCAGCAAATCTCTGCTTTGTCTTCTCCCTTCCATGGACCACTTGAGCTTTTAATCTGGGTCTGCCCTCACCCCCCTCCAGATCTATATGTGCTGCTATAAAGAGACTGACTTCCCCTCTCACATTCTCCCATAGTTTAAACTGGCTCAAATGAGAAGTTTTAAAAGATTCCCAGAACATCTGCTATTCCCAGGACCTCTACTATTCCCAAATATTTGGATACTCTGATTTAGGTCTGTTGTAATTGCTTTTCAAATGAAACACTAGGCTATACAGGCAACTGTTTTATCTTGAAACCAGGTGTATTAGCTTTCTGTACATAAAATATTCTAGAGCTTCTTAAAACAAGCTCAAAATCTTCAAAAAGAGGGACAGTAACTTACTTCACTTTGGTCACAGACATTAGGATCTTACATGATCGACATTAGGATCTTACATGATCTCCATCAGGGAGGAACAAACACAAGTCTTGGTATCTTTCGTGATTTTATGTGGACAACACACCAAGGATGCAGAAGTGTTTTTACTAATAGGGACCAAAAACAAAGAAATACTAAATGCATTCTCTTGAGATTACACACTCTTGGTTTCTCCCTTTCAAAGCAGCGATTATCTATACCTTTTTCTCTGTTGATCTAGTAAAACAATAGCAATATTTTAACAAGCAGCTTGAAAACAGCACATCCATTTCATATCATATTACCTTCTAAATCAAAGCTGACTAAGATGTTGTGTGTACAATTACTACTTTGTTAGTCATTAGCCTGAAGGACTTAATAGTGCATTATCAGTTTTTAAGCTGCTACTCCAAACTTGACAGCATAAAAATTCTGATATTAACAACCCATAACACAAAAAACAGGAGAAAAATTAGTTGTAAACTCTCCGACTTTATTTGCTTATTGAGCTGACTATCATGTCAGTTTGAGACTGACACCAGCTTCTTTCCTACACGGCGAATCTCTGCTTGCATTTAGAAAGCGTGCATATCTGAAGTTTAAAATGCAGGTGACAATGCAACAAAGTTCCCTGGAAAGTTACACAACTAGTCCCTTTTAAACACCTAAAGAGTATGGAACAAGCCTCTTTGCAGCATTGATACATACCTGGGAAAAGCATCAAAGCAATAGGTTTTCCTAGTGTCAGGAAAAGCTACCCGTAATCCAGACATCAAGGGAGAATGAAGGATTACTGCCGCACACTCGTACCGAGATGCCAGGTCTACTGTAGGGACAGTACCAATGCTCTGACCATACAGAATAATGTTCTCAGGACTAACACCATACCTGCAGAGAAAAGAAACATCCTTTTAAAAAGAACACATTTCACATCACGAAAGCAAAACACAAACTAAACAACAACAAAATAACAAAAGGGGGGGGTGTAAAACCCAAAGCATCCCTCCTACCCATTGTAGCTCTTTAAAATCTATTCCTAGGAGACAAGAATTTACAAGTCTAAACTTTAAAACAGTCCAGTAAAGCAAATAATCAAAATATCACACAGGCTAAAGAGAGCTATCCACAAAGGAATGTCAGTTTGTTCGTTCATCTTTCATGAACAACACTTATCTTTCACTCCGAGGCACAGCAAATTATAAGTTAGACTTCCCCCCTATGCAGAATCACTCAGGAATTTCAGTTAGATATTCTGGAGACTAACAACCTTTCCACCATTAAACAAGACAGTTGGCTCCTCTGCCCACCTTTCTTTCCATGCAGCTAGAACAAAAAGACCGAACTGCCTTGTTAGCGTAGCTAAAGACACCAAAGAGAATAAAAAATTGATAGTTCTGTTCATTTTTCCAATTTCTGATCAGTGTAAATTATTCCTTATTTTCTAGTCCAGTTTAAAATACGTCAAGCTTATTTCTGTAACCATAAAGATACATGATTCCTCAAAACTCAGGCTTCATAGGGAGCCCTGGATGGCTCCTCAGTATTCCCACCCAGTCCATGAAACTGTCCTAGCCTGTGTGCTGTTTCACAGCTGCAAAAGAGTCGAGGATGATACTAATTAGATTGTTACTTAACGTGTGCAAAATATTAAGGAATTTGGAAGAAGCACAGGAGGAGGCGGCAGTGGCTAGGAAGAAGTGAAGAGCACAATAGTATTTGGTCACCACAACTCGTTAGGAAAGCTGCAAATCAAAGCTGTTACCAAGTTAATTACAAAATATTTACCCATAAGATTTCTAGGTATAACTCCACTTCCTGCTGCAAGCTGTACAAAGAATAAAGAAGTGCAGAAGAGAACATCTCTTTAGTGGAAAATAATTTGTGCAGAACAGGTCTTTTTGCCAGTCTACGTGATCTACAGTCCTCCCGTCACTGCTGTGACAATGAAAATCAAAACCTACAGTTTAGGCTATACCCAGTGTACACTTGGAAGGTTTCAACTTCCTTGCCAAGCTGACAGCGAGGTGTATGGCAGGCCTGGATCGTAGCTCTCTTTCAAGCAGCTAAATGACTGGGTATGTGCAAAAGAGATAAAATTACAATGGAAGAATAATTAATTAATAATTAAAATTACAATAGAAGAATAATCTGGTACTAATCATCCAACTGCAGGCTGTCAAGATTGCCTGCTTTTACAATAAAGTAAAACTAGCCCGGATTGTAGCCTCTGTGAAACTGGAATTTTCTTCCTATTTCCATACTGCTGAGCATAAGGGTGCTTTTGGCATCTACTGCAATATGAATAAGCAACTGTACAAAAATATCTCCCTGGAGTAAAATTTTATCCTCTTGGTAACCAAGCAGCAGCTCATGTTGGTGGTCTATCACCACAGCCACGGCCTGATGTTTTTAAAGAGATGTGGTGAAGCTCTTTTAGGAGAGTTTTTTTTCTCCCTTACTGCTAGAAATAGTCCAGCACACAGTGGAGCCCAGCTGATTTTGGTATGCATGTTAACAGGATCCTGGAGCAAAGCCTGGTCCTCGCAGATTTCATTCCGGCTGTTAGGTGGGCAGAGTTGGAGGTAGGTACCTTTGCAGGCAGCACATGCACCCAATCTGTTGATCTACCAGCTGCTCCATCATACTGAAGACAGGCAGAAATGCATCAACATCAGCGAATACAAGAAAATGGGACTGGAACACGATCTGCTACGGGGCCCTTAGCTAGGCATGGAATGATATTAATGCTGATAGGTTTTGCAATACCATCCTGAACTCCAGTATCACAATAAACGGAAGGTCACCTTTCTAAAAGGTTTACAATCTAAGCAGAATATGGAAACAGATGTTTGAATGAGAATCACAAGATAACAGGACAGCACAGGCTAGCAAAATAGTTCCTTCAACAGGTACAATGGCCTTAGTATAGCCATTCTCTTCAACATTTATCTGCTTTGGATTCATGCCTTTTGACATTATTTTGAAATATTCTTGAAAACAGCTCATATTGTAAGTGGAGCACCTTGCTGCAGTGGCAACAGATACTCTAGAAAAAAAATCTCAGTTTCATAATATGCCAGTTGAAGCTGGATTCAGTCTATAGCATCATTAAAAAAACCCAGAGAGATCTCTAAATGTAAAGTAGCCCGTTATCACTAAATAAATGCTACAACTATTCAGTATCTAACACCACAGAAAGGCAACGCGACAATTTTAAAAAAAAAAATCTTAAACTATTAGGACAATGAGTTAGTGCACTTGTAGCCTGTCATTAGGTCAAACGTCTTTTCTGCTTTGTATTCCTACTGACAAGACAACTAAAAGAGTCTCTTCGACTGTTTTAGTTAGGGAGAGTCCAACTTTCCAATACAGAATAGTTACCATAAAAGATTTACCTTTTTAAGCCCTCTACCATTAGGCCATCTGTCAGAAGGTGAGACATCAAGCTTGACGCAAACATCAGCGGAAACAGCTACATGTAAAATTTATTTATTGTGAGGCCAAAGGACGTATGACAACTCATAAGCAAGGGCCATGAATAACTGACACGCACGAGGTTCTTGGAGCTGAAGGCCAGGGCTTGGCTCCATCATATTCCGTTCTTCACAAACGCTGCCCAGCTGGTGACTCAGCAAGCACCATTCACCTGAGTTACACAACGACCTGGGGGTTTCATCTTTAAAATACAGTATCCTTTCAGCAAAGGCTGGGCCCCTGCCCCACTCGCTGCAAACTCCCTTGTGGTACGAGATTCTTGTGCAACAGGAATAGCTATACAGAAAGTGAAACAGAAGAGAGGAAGAGCAGACATAGATAAGTAGGAGGCAATGAAAGGGAAACTAAGTGGCACAGAAAAAGGAAAGAACGTGATAGAAAAAGGCAAAAGACATTCTGAGAAAAGTGGAATCCTGTTACAATCTGCTCTCCTATTAAGGACGCAAGTCCTTCCACCAGCTGAACAGCAGGTCCTAAAAATACCATCCTCGAAACACACGAGCTTTGGTCTCTGTGGAAACAGAGCTCCGTCTGAGGGAGCGGGAGACCCAAGTTAAATTTATGGGTATGCTCCTGCATTTCTCCTCTGGAGCCCATCAGAGAGCTCAGAACAAGCAGAGCAACACCACAATGTGGAAATCAGCCCTCAGCAAAAGCAAAGTAGGAAGGAATTCAAACAGTTACTGTGGGCATACGCAAAACACTGATTTGACAAGGGGAGAAAAAAAATAATAAGAGGCAGGCATGCTTTTCCCCCCCAAGGGAAGTCAGCTACTGAGAAGTGCAAAGCTACTGTTCAATATGATGCAAGCACTTCTGCTCCCCCTTACCCACAAACACTTGTCAGATAGCAAAGTTCTCCAGCCTAGTCTACTTTCAGTAACCCGTGAGTAGCTTTCAGATTACATTTCTTACACTTGCGGAAACAAACCCCAGCTACCTTCACAAGCAGTACAGCTGTCTGCACCTACAACTTCACCAACTCAAGGCAGGGCTAGCTAACGCACCAACACACTCCACAGCTAACAGTAACACAGGGAGGGGGGTTTGCCCCATGCTACTGCCTCAATTTCTACAAATTAGGTTTACCAGCAATTCTGCATGAACTATGGTGCACAGAAGTTGGCTGTTAAGAATCCACACCTCAGACTCTTATGCTTACTCCTGCGCAGAGTAGTAAGAGACCTCAGTCACATCAGTGGCTCAGTGGAATGGGGGAGAGTGGGAATATTGCTGACGGCGAGCACAGCACAGGAGGACGGACACAGGAACTTCTAGCTCCGTCTGCTCAGCAGTATGGTTGTGGCTTGGGCCATGCCCCACACCAGTTTCCTCATATAACACGGACAACGGTATCAATTGCCTTTGTAAAATACTCACAGCTTTCTGGCTGACAGCACTATGTACAAACTATGTTTTATGATAAAACATCTTTAAATACGAGCATGAGATACCAATATCCCCCGCCTGGCTTCAGCTCTGAGTGATACAGATGGAAAGTTTACCATTGCTATTTTTACACTCTCCTCACTCAGTCAAAAGCGCTAGTGGAATGTTGCTGCAGGGACTACAGACGTGTCATACAGCTGAAGCCCTGCAACGTTCACGGCCAACGTTACAGCATCTGTGCCAATCCTCAAAGGTCCTAAACACATATTCATTAATGAGGCCAGTTCTTTTTCCAGGCTTATTGAATTAGTGAAGTTAACCTCACCATACATTTTTCAGTTTTGAAGTTCTATGGTATTTGCTGTCCCAATATCCCTTACCTAAACTGGAAAGCATATAGAACAGCATGGAAATGGAAACAGCAACAAACCAGTCTTCAAAAACAGTCACAGTAACTATCTAGGCAGAGTGTTTTGACCACACAAACCTCATTTCATAATGCCATCAAGACCTACTGTTTAACTGCTACTAAACTAAGGCAGCTGCTGGTGGTCATCTTCTTCCTTCCAACACGGTATATAAAGAGAAACAGCCAGGAAAGCCAAGGTAACCAGCTCACGCGTCCTTGGAAGGAGGCTGAGTTTGAAGCTGTGCACTCCCCTCTCATGGGAAACACCACCATGAAATAATTCATTTTCAAGACACAAACTAAATCCAGCACACATCAGAAGCAACATAAATCATGCCACATTTGGAAGAAATACTGACTTCCAGAGTATTTTTATCAGAACACGCATGCGCTCAGTTATAGGATGATCTTCACAGGCTATTCTTCAAGTCTGTTTCTTCCTGTTGCTACAAACCCATTTGTCACAACATACTATTCGTTCCCTTTTCATTATCTCTAAACTTCATAATCCAGAGAAATTTAGATCGTTCATTAAGAAACACAGGTAAGTTTTTCTATAGCATCATTATACTCTTCCACAAGATATGCATCTACA